TTATATTAATTTTTAATTTATTTATAGTCATCAACGTACTACTAGAATTGAGTGCAAATTTTTTTGTTGCTAAATGAAACATTTAAGTGATTTTTGTCTAGTTTTATGAACTACTTTGCCACAGTTGTTAAGTTAGTAACATGGTTGTTAAGTGAATTTGGCTTCCCTATTGACTTCGCTTGTCAGAAGGTCTCAAAAAAATGATCACGTGATCACTGCAACAGTCACAAATATCAGTCGATTGCCAAGCTTCTGAATTTTAATCACATGATCATGGGGATGCCATGTGAAAAACACTTGTTTAAGTCGATGCCGTTGTAATTTCGGACAGTCACTAATGAACTGTTGTAAGTCAAGGACTACTTGTCTGTGGAGATCCTCAGTCATCCAGGTCAGGGGTGGGCAAATGTGGCCCTTTTACAACCTGTGGACTTCAACTCCCAGAATTCCTGAGACAGCCAAGGTGGCTGACTCAGGAATTCTGGGAGTTGAAGTCCACAGGTCGTAAAGGGGCCATATTTGCCTATCCCTGATCCAGATCATGGTTGTCCCAAAGGTGCTGTTTTTTCTTTGAAGGCGTTTCGCTTCTCATCCAAGAAGCTTCTTCAGTTCTGAGTGTCTGCAAGGAATATAAATCCTTCAATTCCCCACCATCCAATCCAGGGGTGGGTTCTAAATTTTTTTACTACCGGTTCTGTGGGTGTGGCTTATTTTGTGGGCGTGGCTTGATGGTCATGTGACAATTCTTTAGGATTTAGCAGAGATACTGGTCTACCAGGCTTTTAACTGCTTGCAGAGCTGTACCGATCTACCCATTTATTTTCGCAGGCACTGGTCTACCTATTTATTTTTGCGGCACTGGTCTAATCATGTATTTTTGCAGGCAGGCACTAGTCTACCCATTTATTTTTCGCAGGCACTGGTCTACCATTTATTTTTGCAGGCACTGGTCTAATTCATGTATTTTTGCAGGCACTGGTCTACCCATTTATTTTTGCAGGCACTGATCTACTCATTTGTTTTTGGAGGCACCAGTCTACCACCAAACCACTGATCAGCTGTAGGCCGCGGCAAGAGTTTAAACAGTTTTTCCTTATAGTCCATCAGTTGGGACTCAGAAGGCAGCAATAGATTGGGGGTGGGGCCAAATAAAAGGTAAGAATAACGCGAGGGAGGGGAGAACTGTTTCGGTGACATCATATCGTCACCGCTATCAGCTTGGCCGAACCGGGCGGAACCCAGCACTGATCCAATCAGAGCTGAAGATGCTTCTTGGATGAGAAGTGAAACGTCTTCAAAGAAAAAACAAGGAAGTGCAGTTGCCTCCTGAAAAATCACCTTTGGGTCAAGGGCTACTTGTACTTCATTATTTTGATAAATAACTCAGGGCAGCAAACATACCTGCCTCTCATTTTCCCCACAACTACCACCCTGTGCGGTGGGTTGGGCTCAGAGAAACTGACTGGCCCAAAGTCAACCAGACGGTTTTATTATCAAAACATAATTTAATTATATATATTAATTAAATTGTTAAAACAGAAGGCTTCAGAGCATTTGAAATCAAATACCACTGCTGACAACCAAATAACTTAATTAATTTTGTACTCCATCCTCAAGATGCTCCCAGAGAAATAGAGGTGGGCCTCGTTTAGCGACTAGAATCGGGGACCAGTGACTCGGTTCTTAAGCAAAGTGGTCACTAAACGAAACCGCAACTATGCTTGCGATCTAATTTCAGCTCTCTTTTGCTTTTCAGACTCGCGAAGTTGCAAAGTTAACTTTTTCATCCCCGACCTGTGAACGGTCACTGTATGAGGCAGTCATTCAACGAGGATTACCGGTAATGAAAAGTGCAAAAAAAATAAAAAAAATAAAACTCACCGCAACTTTAGTGGGGGGGGGGGAAATCACAGAAATAAAGCCTGAATTCCAAGCTAACCACTTCAAAGGACCTCAATGTAAATGCAAATTATGAGGAGCAAGTATTTTGTAAACAAAAAAAATATATAACATCCACCACTCTTCTCGGATTTTTTCCCCCCTGCGATCTCTCCACCGGCCCTCTAGATGGCGCTCTCTCCTCAGGCGCCTTTCACGCCAGCTGACCGCCGGGCTTCCCTGGTCTTCCCTTTTCACTCTTCCCCCTCATCCCGGCCTCTGCCTTTCGGCCACCTCCATCGATCGTCAACCGCTTCTCCGACGGCCCTCCCTCCGCTTCTCGGGTTTTTATACCGCCGTCCTCCGCCCCGCCCCTTTCGGCTTCCTCGACTAGCCAATGACGGGCGGCTTCTCCACGTGACGGGCGCTCGTCCAATCCTCGGAGCCGAGGCCTGGTTGAAGGGGGAAGGCCTCTGAAAGAGGGCGGCCAATGGCCTTGCAAGGGGCGGAGCTCGCTCCCTTCCGACGCTCGCCTGCTCGCGGCCGCCATTAGAGAAGCGAGGCGAGACTGAGGGGAAAAAAAAAAAATTGGCCGAAATAAGGCTCTTGAGGGGAGGGGAGTCGTCCGACACAGCCGGAATATTGAGAGGGGGGGAAACGACGGCGGAGGCGGCATGGGGGAGACCCGCTGAAGGAGACGGCCGAGTCTGCGAAGGCGGCTGCGCAGGAGGAAGGCGGAGAAGGGCATCCGGCGCTCAGGATGCCTCGGCTGGGAAGCCGCCGACAGAGGCACCGCTGAGGGAAGAAGAAGAAGAAGAAGAAGAAGAGACGCCGAGGAAGCGAAGAGGAAACGCTGCGCCGGCCCTGGATTTATTTTCTCCCCCTCCCGAAGTCGTCTCTTCGGTCCTCACCTGTCAAAAGCCTTTCGGGGGAGGAAGAGCCCCAAATCGCCTCAGGAATTTTAATTATTAGAGGAAAAAAAATAATAAAAAGGACGCGAGGCGGACCCGGGTCTCTTCTTCTTTCTACTCCGGGGAGGCCGGAGACGCTTATTTATATTGAAAAAGTCGGCTTTAAAAAAAAAAGTCTATAAACCCCCCCTCCCCGCTCTTATTTTGAGGGGGGGGCAACCCCAAAAGCTCTCTCGCCCCAAACGTCTCTGGAGGATCAATAAAATAAATATCTGGAAAGGAGAAGAGATTTTTTTTTCTCCCCTTCCTCATCGTTTCTGAAGGTGGGGAGGGGGCGAGCAGAGCGAGAGCATTTCCAGTAGCTGATCGTTATTCCAGATTTTCTTTTTTTTTTTCAATACATAATATCTGGAGGAATTTCCCCTCGTCCTCTTTCAGCTTCTCTTCCCAGGTGCGAAGAAGAAGAAAAAGTTTCATTGGGGTTTTGGGTTTTTTTGAGGTGGGGGGGGTCTTGAGGAAAGAAGGAAAAAAGGCTTGTGGAAGAAAAACTTGCATGGGCTCCATTGCCTGGAAAAACAAGGGGCGAAGTTAAAGGAATTACCAACAAAAAAAGAAAGGAAGAAAAAATTGTTTCCAGTAACTTATTACTTGGGAGAGGAGGAAAAAAAAAAAAAGCTAATTTCTCCCACAACCCCATCCCGGGGCATCAACTCCTGCAAGAATTCATTGCGCGGAAAATAAGCCTGAATCGAGGACCCCTTCGCGATTAACTTTTTATCATTTATCGTTTTGGAAGAAGATCCACTTTGTTTTTTCTTCTCCCTTTCGGCGTTTCTTTAAAAAAAAAAAAAGGAAGTTTCTTGGCCCTCTTGTTTGCAAGAAAGGAAATCAAGGAGAGCTGAATTAGTTGCTTCCTATCTGGAGGAAAAAAAATCTTCACTTTCCAAAAGTTATTTTTGGGGAAGTGGTAGTGGTGGTGGGGGCATTTGGCTGATTTCTCCTCTTTTGGAAGATTATTTGTGTGTGTGGGTGGGGGAAAACAAGGAATCCACCCCCGATTGTGTTATTTTCATCGAAGCTTGAAGGGATCCACTGTATCCAGGACAAGGAGGGCTGCTTATTTTTTTGGTTTTATTTTGGTTAAAAAAAATCGCAAGACAATCGGAGAATTGTGATTTTTTCCCCCCCTCCTGGAAAAGCATCTTGGCCTCTTAATTCGAGGTGGTGGTGGGGAAATCATCTTCCTGGAAACTGACTTTTTTTTTTTTTTTGGTTCCTCTCCCGACTCCACTATTTGTAAAAAGAAAAACAAAACAAAACAAAACAGCAAAGGAAGACTCCTTTCACCCGGACTGGAAAACCAAACACGCAGCCCTGGATTTCGCTTCCATGGGAAGTCGGAAGATTTTCAAGGCGGCTCCTTATTAAAAAAAAAAAAAGCGGTGGAGGAAAAAACAAAAACGCGACTCGGTGTCAAGCGTCGTAATAAAAGAAGAACTCTTTCCCCCCCTTTTTTCCCTTTAGGAAGCCGAAGGGAAACCCGGGGCTTGCAAAAGAAGTCGCGACGGAGCCCGACTCCAAAGTGGAAGTTCCCTCCTCCTGCGGGGATCCCCGATCGTCCGAACCGGGCCAGCGGCCGGGGAGGCCCGAAGCAGCTCGGAGAAGAACCGCGGAGAAGGCTCGGCCCTCCTGGCCTTCGGCTCGCCTTCCTTTTCACGCCGCCGCCGCCGCTCTTTTCTCTCCTTTTTCGCGTGCGGCCGTGTGTCTTTCTTGCAAATCCAGGGTGACGGGAGAAAAACGAGGCGCTAAAGGGAGCAGCAGCGGGCTCGATTCCTGGATTACTTCACACCCGCCCTTCTCCTCCTCCTCTCCCCTCCTTTCCCCTCCTCTCTTTCGCTTGCTAGCTGGCTGAAGATCGTAAATCTCTCGCCTTTTGCCAGCCCTTTTGGATTCACTATCCTCCCCCCCCACCCGCCCGCCACCTTCGCCGGCCCTCTCCTTGCCTGCCTCCTTCCTTCTTTCCACGGATTTATCTTTATACCTTTTCCTGGCCGGGAGGCGTTGAAATTTCTTTTCTTTCGTTTGGAAAAAGCCCTTCCTTCCTTCCTTTCCCTGGGGTTAGTTTATTTCTTCCTGCTCCGGGCAGCCCCGTCACCCCTTCTCTTTCTCTCCCTGCAGTGCGTGTGTGTGTTTTAGAGAAGGAATAGGCCCTTTCTGTTCTTTTCTCCCCCCCCTCCCATCATCACACCGCCCCATCCCTCCCTCCCTCCCTTTGATTGTGTCTCCCTCCTTCTCGGTCTGGTGTGGTGTGGTGGTGTGTGTCGCTCTCTCGCTCCTGTCTCTTGTCTTTTCTTTCTTGTCGGAGGCTTGTGGGATAATGGCGTGCGGGTTGTGGCTGTGAGGATGAGTTCCTGCTTCGTGCCGAACGGGGCCAGCCTGGAAGATTGCCATTCCAACCTTTTCTGTCTGGTGAGTGGCTACTTTGTGTATGTGTGTCTGTGTGTGTTTCTTGGTTTATTTTGGGGGGGGGAAGAAGCGGGGGGGGGGAGAGGCGTTGAAGGGCAGATCGCAAGAGATAAACCGTGCAAGGGAAAGTGGGGGGGCGAGGGAGGGAGAAAGAGAGAGATGAGATCGCCAGCAAAGAGGAGGAAAAGAAGGTGGGGGGGGGAGAGAGAGGAATGGAAGCAAAGCAGCCATTTTTAGCATTCTGCTTGGAGAAGTCCTCTGGAGTAGGCCTTAGCCAGGAGTCGCCCAATTCTCCCTGTAAACCCCCCCCCCTTCTCTTTCCTTCTGGCAAGGCGATTTGCTTACAAGTCTCTTTCGCACTCTTCTCTCCCAGCGCTTTCTTCCTCCAGTCCTTTGTTTATCACCTTGATTCCCCCCCCCCATAAACTTTCATTTTCTCTCTCTGGCCTCCTTTTTTGTTGTTGTTCTTGTGGTGGTGGTTGTAGGTGGTAGGACTAGCAACTTGATTTCTTGTGTTTATTTTATCTCGGCTCATTTTCATTCTGTCTAGCTCTAGCCCAAGGCATGCCTCTCCCCCCCCTTTTTTTTTTCTCAAGCTAACTTTTCTGCCTTCACCCCAACTCCCCTAATAGTAGAACCCTACTCAGATTGGAGATAAAGTGCCTCTGGGGGAGGGGCCTCGTTATTTGTAGGCTCCAGTTTGGGTTTTTTAAAAAAAGGATGGATGGAGGCAAACATGCTCTTTTATAACATTGTTTACCTTCTTCCTTCGGTGGAATCCAGTTGAGTTTCCTAGCTAGGGCTTTGACCTCTTTCTGGAGTTTTATTTAAATGCCGATTGATAGCAGCTTTGACTGGTTGATAAAAGTAGATGAATTGCTTTGGATGGCTGGTGCAAGGAATTCAAGAAGCTGGAATATATCAGCAAGAACACGGGCTAGGCTGGCCCATTCTCAGAATTATCACTATCCTATTCACAAACACCCCCCCCCCCAAATTTCAAATGCACCAACTGTTGCAAATTCTGTCACTACAAGGAGCATTGTCCTTGTTGAGATTAAAGAAACAGAAAAAAACCTATATTTTCTGCTGAAAGGGAAGTAATATATTGAATAGAGCATGAAAGATAGTTGAAGTTGAGCCCAGGCAATTTTTGTGATAATTTGTAGACCCCATTTGTGAGGGAGCAGTGTGGTGGTATTTCGTAGCTGGAAGGAAGAGGTGGAAGGTTTCCTTAAAAAGTTCTTTTGAATTATGCTTCAAAAATGTCTTAGTTTATTTTGCTATCTTTCCCCTCTCCATTCCTCTCTAGTAGAAATAGTAGCAGTTAATGCTTTTATTGGAATTCATGTATTTAAAGCCGGTTTGGTTCTGTTTAATTATGTCTCAAGTACTAAATAACTTTGCTAATGAGGGGCTTATGGCTGAGGTGTGTTTGCATTTCTGACAAATGGGCAGACTCTCTCTCTCTATCTAGAGGTGCAGGTTCTTTATATGGGGATAATCAGTAGATACAACCAAATGAGAGCCAGCCATTGAGAGTAACCTTTTGGATGTTTTGACTCAGCTCTCTCAATACTTTTATCATTAGACATGCTGACTGGGTGACATGAGAAGTAAAGTCCAAAATATCTGGAATGTGCCCTGGCATTATTGAAAACATTTTTTTTACATCCTAGAATGGAATTTTACTGTGTTTGAGTAACAACACTGCTGCCACTGACTTTATGGAGCACAGATTGACTAAACGAAGTTGCTATGGCTTCAAATGTTTATTTTGTAAATATCTGAAGTGTCTTATGCGTTTCTTCACTAGAATAAGAAAAAAAAAGTTTGCTTGAAATTACTAGAGAACTCTGCATTTCATAAAAGTTTGGAACTTTAAAAGAGAATATCCGGTTCTTTCTGCTCTTAATGCCTGTTTGATTTTTCTTTCAGGCTGATTTAACTGGGATTAAATGGAAACGATACATATGGCAGGGCCCAATGTCTGCTCCGATTCTTTTCCCTGTAACCGAAGAAGATCCCATCTTAAGCAGTTACAGTCGTTGCCTGAAGGCCGATGTCTTGAGTGTATGGCGACGAGACCAAAGGCCTGGGCGCAGAGAACTATGGATCTTCTGGTGGGGTGATGACCCCAATTTTGCAGACTTAATTCATCATGACCTAGCAGGTAAGGCACGGATAGATAAGCTCTTTTTATTCCTTTTGTGATGGTAACATTTTTTCCCCTTGACTTTGTGTTATTTATTTATTATATCCCACTTAGAAATTGTTTTGCTAGTTTACTGGCTTTGACAAGCTTGGCTTTAAAGAAAGAGAGGATGAAATGTATGTCATTGTATTTGCTCATTCAGTACTTATTTATTTATTTTGTCACATTTCTATGCCGCCCCACTCCCAAGGGACTCTGTTGTTTCTGCTCAAAATTATTATATTTTAAGCTCCATGTAAGTGGATGCTGCTGTTTTTACTAAAATGAGGTCTATGAAGGGCCACAGACCCTGCTTAGTACTGTGTGGAATTTTCACGTGGTTACAAGGGCCACGGGTTTAGTGCAGTATGAAAACAAGCAAGGATGGTAAAGATTCACATATATGTGCTTGGAATGTTGTGGCTTCTCTGGGAAAAATGTTGCAAGAGGATGTATGGATGGCTTTATTTCCGTATCTGAAATTTGGTCTAGCCTTAATCTGCATTTGGAAATTGTGTTGAATTTACAGGTCTGATCATGAGGCAAGTGGAAGATTGGGTAATTTTATCAGTTTTGTTACATCCATAGGAGAATTGTGTTCCTGGTTTTAAAATGAGTTAGAGGAGTAGGTAGGATCTGTTTTGGTTGATCAAACTACCATCTTGAGTGAATGGCTGGATATGTGTGCCTTTGTCTCAACAGTTTACCTACTTAGCATAAACAAGCTCTTAAACTGAGTTCTTGACATCTTTAGTTAAAAGGATTAAGTAGCAGGTGATGGCACCCTTCACTGGCTGATAGTATTGGCTACATGAACAAGTAGTCTGACTGGGTACTGTACACACCAATTTATGTTCTTAATATAATTATACTAGTAATTGGTAGGAGTGAATAACGTGCATCATTTCACAGTTGTTTATGCATTTGCACATACTGCTGATTAATCCCCTTTTTGCTGTCAACAGTTTTCTCCCCAGGTTGTTGCAAGAATTAAGTATATTTAGGCTAAGAGGGTTATATTTTTAACTAATAATATGGATTACCTGTAACTAAACGATAGGCAATTAAAAAAAATATCTGAACAAAAATAGTTGGAGGAAAAAAACTTGTAGAAGTTGGGTTTTGTGGAAACTTTTAAAAGAGGCTTAGCAGATTTGAATTGCCTGAATTTGGCTGATGTAAAGTCTCCTGTGTCAGTAACTCATGTTCCTGAAAGTATTCTATATGGCAAGTACATAAAGATATAAAGTATTAAATCTTTTAAGTTAATGTTTTAAAACAAACTATATGAACCATGTTCATTGCGTTCTATTGAGCCAAACACAGAAGTAACAAAAACAGTAAAATTGAAAGGTTAACACAAGGTTTGATAAAATAGTGGCAAAAATTTGAGGGAAGGAGAGGTTATAAATAGCCCAGAACAAGTTAATTTGTCGTGTTCTAAAAAGAGAGTTTTACTTTACATAGAAAGTGACGTGTTGGTTTAATCTGAAAATAAATCAGCGTAGTTCAGCTGTAAAGCTGGGCATCAGTGGTCTTCAGAACATTTGGACATTCCCTCTAATTTTGGAAGCATCACCTTCCAAGCGCTTATTTAAATATAGGCTATTTAAGCAGTTTTTTCATCACCTATCCTAGCAAACTGGTGCGTGAGCTTGTCTTTGGCAGCAGCATGCTCTACATAAAGATGCTCATCAATGTTGAAATGTCATATTTAATCCTTGAAAAGTTGATATCTATGTGTTACATTATTGTAACTTAAACATTTACATATTCTAACTGCCACACACATGAAAAAGCTAAGAGTTGTTTTCTACAGATCCTCAGACTAATAGACAGATTAAGAGAAAGGAATGGGAATGAAAATGGAAAGCAGTCTCAGTTCCCACCATCTCTACCCGATTGTCTAAAATGGGTATTCCTTTTTAATTTACATCCAGAATCATAACCTTCCTGTGTCACCAAGCTTATAGAATTTAAGTAAGATCAGTGCAAATAACATATATGGAAGATTTTAGCATTAGTTCATCCCATGCTATATAATCTATTTGGCAGCAAGGGATCTCCAGTATTTTCAATTTTGGGCGAGTATGTCAGCATCTTCTCGTGATATTTAAAGTCTTTAGGTTGTCTATGAATGTTGTGGCCCTCGAGTTACGACAATGATTGAGCCTAAAATTTCTGTTGCCAAGTGAGAAATCCGTTAAGAGAATTTTGCCCCATTTTACAACTTTTCTTGCCACAATTAAGTGAATCAGTGCAGTGGTTAAATTAATAACACAGTTGTTAAGTGAATCTGACTTCCGCCTTGACTTTGCTTGTCAGGAGGTGGCCCCAGGACACTGCAGTCGTCATAAATATGAGTCAGTTGTCAAGTGTCTGATGTTTGATCGCATGACCATTGGGATGCTGCAACAGTAATAGGTGTGAAAACTGGTCATAAGGCACTTTTTTCAGTCCAGTTGTAACTTTGAATGGTTACTAAATGAGCTGTAAGTCGAGGGTTGCCTGTATTTTAAGGGTGTCCTCTTGGTTGTTTGTTATCGGGGGTGGGGGGGAATCCATCTCATTGCCATCTTGGGAATTTGATTACTGTATTCTCCATAGGGAGTATAGATACATGGAAGATACAATAATAAATCTGCAACAAAACAACCAAGCTCAGAGAGCACCAAGGACCCCTTAGTGGTATAAAATATTGTGAAACAAAATTAAAAATTCTTGATAAGGCTGTTCTAATGAATACAAAATGGAAGTATGCATGATCAGTGTTTGATTTTAATTGTTATAGATAAAATTGAATTAAGTATGTAAATTCTAGGCTCATTATTTGAGGCAAATGGATAGTTCTATAGCAAGACTCATCTGTATTGTGTATTGTATTGTGGTGTTTTGGGTTACAGGTATTTTAGGAAGTAGAATTGTTTATGTGCTTTGCATAACCTTGCTGTGCTGCTATTTTTACTTCTGGCTTTGCTGTGTCCTGCTGGCAACTTTTAATTTGACCTATTCTGTTTCAACGATTTTTCTTCCATTTAATGTATTTAATTTAATTATCACTGAAAAACTTCAGCTATTAGATTGCTTAATAACATAATATATAGTCAGTTAATGTAGAAGCCTTGTTGTAACATTAGCAGTAATTACAGTATACGCTATAATATAGGTCAGGAGCAAGCAATATCGTGCTTTCTAATGTCTTTTTGGATTTAAGCTTCTACCCTTTATGTTGTTTGATCAATGGCAAAATAGCAATGGTCCAAAACATCTGAAGGGCACAATTATGCGATGAATAGCTACTCAAACCATTCCCATTTTTATATCATGACAATTTTGCTGTGCGCGTCTTCTGTCTGGCTCAGGACTTGCTGTGGCAATGAAACAGCACCGTCTCTGGGCTTTTCGGAGATCTCCCTTTATTTGCTATACCAGGAGAAAGGAAAAGCTTTATGCATTCAACAGCTCAAAGCTAATCAGTATATTGCTAAGAATATTGAATGCATGGCTGTGATCTTAGCAGCAATAACAGGGGGGCAAAACACCTAGAAGGTAAGTAACTAAGTCCTTTACCACAGGACTTAATATTGTTATCTATGGAATTTTCTTATACCTGTCTAGATGTTAAGAAGCCAATGCTGTCAGAAATTCATTTTTCTCGAGTACAGGAGATATGACTTTCTCCCCCTTCCAGGCTATGGAATTTACTGCCTCTGCAATGAAGCTTGGCCTTCATTTTTTTCTGCCTTTGGAAGAGCAGGAGGTGTATTTCTTTAGTATGTATATATTTTTATGGTTTTATTTTGTATTTCAATTTTTGTTAGCTGCCTTGAATAACGCAGGTGAGGGGCAAAGCAATTACAGTGAACATATATAAAATCTATAAAGGTACTAAAAGAAATAAAAAATATTAAAAGAGTCGATACAGATGTATGTTTAGCAAGATATCGTAGATAGGAGAAGATAATCCATATTGTAAAAAAAAGTTTCCTTCTGATTCTAAGATGCTTCTTGTTTTAAGTATTTATTGCTACTTCAGGGATTTATAAGGAACTAACAAATAATGTAACTGTAAAGTACAACTAGCACTGATGATGTTACCTATTTGGGTAATAAAACACCTGCAGGAAAATAATCAAGCTCAGAGAGCACCAAGGACCTCACAGATAGAACAACTGTAGATATCAGATGAGTGTTTAAGTAGATCCTTTAAGTTTTATTCACTCAGATCTGAAAGTAAAATATTTGAAATGATCAAGAGATCAAAATAAATTAATCCTGTGATGATACCTTTCACATCATCAAACAACATCTCCTTATCCCAAATCTTTGGGAAGGACTTTATAGGTGGATAAAAATGCCAAATCCGGTCTAAACATCTGACTGATTGTGTGATGGACCATAATAATATAACAATTATTGAAAAGAAGAAAGTCTGGTTCATTGGTGCTGTTGTTTCTGGTAAAGCTAGGATTGGGGGGAAAACATTTGGAAAAAATTACAAAATAGCAGGACTTGCAGACTGAGGTTTGAACACTTATGGAAAAAGAAATCCATTGTTATTCCCAATTGTGATTGGAGCTCTTGAGTCCTAAAGGACTTTCTTGCATCTGGAAACATTGACTTTATTAGACCTGAGAATCCTAATTTAAAAAAAAACAACAAAAAACCTCACCTTGCTTGGAATTGTCTATATTCTTAGATGCTACCTTAATAATTCTTAGATCCTTGGTTAGGACTTGAATCATTAAGTTTCCACTGGTGTTAGACTGTGAATCTAACTGTAGATTACCCATACCTAATAATCTATATTTTAAGATTGTCACAGATCTTTCCTCTTGCCAAGGTGATATAATGTTAATTTATGATTCAATGTAGGCATATTTTTTTTTACTGTAAGCTGCCTGGAACAACCTTAGAAGGGTGTAAAATGGGTGGCCAATAAATGTTATAAATAAATACAATTAAATAAATAAATAAAT